GGGCACTGTCGGAGGGTCAGTGCTGAGGGAGCGGGCACTGTCGGAGGGTCAGTGCTGAGGGAGCGGGCACTGTCGGAGGGTCAGTGCTGAGGGAGCGGGCACTGTCGGAGGGTCAGTGCTGAGGGAGCGCCGCACTGTCGGAGGGTCAGTGCTGAGGGAGCGGGCACTGTCGGAGGGTCAGTGCTGAGGGAGAGGGCACTGTCGGAGGGTCAGTGCTGAGGGAGCGGGCACTGTCGTTTGCTCATTGTGATGAATAGAGGACTTTCACGGCTGCACAGAATGCTGGGATAGCCAGGTGTCCATCACCAGCTTCCCCTTTAGGCCGGGCACCATGATGTGCGGAAGACGCTGGGTCCGGATTTCACATTAACTGCTGTCACTTTAGGTGAAGCTGTTGAGAGGATTTGACGGTGACAAAGTGGATGTAGGATTGCAGGCAGAGCACTGATCACTCCACTCTTCAGCCACTCTGTTGTGTTCTAGGGTTCCTGCCTCAGCAGCGTCGAAAACGAAGCCCCAACGGTTGACCAGCTTCGGAAAATCTGGCGGAAGTAGCGTCAAACAGAAGCTCCTGGAATGGTGTCGTCAGAAAACCCGAGGTTACCAGGTGAGTGCTAGTGTTTCGCTGTCAGGGTAATGTAGAGGGAGCTCTGCACTGTATCTAACCCCCGGCTGTCAATATCCTGGGAGCGCTCAATGCTGCCACTCGGGTATAAAGTGTTGCAGATCTCTCTGATGATCCATCCTATAACCTGTTTTGTTTTCCTGCAGCACGTCGATATCCAGAATTTCTCCACCTCCTGGAATGATGGGATGGCGTTTTGTGCCCTAGTCCACAAATTCTTCCCGGATTCCTTCGATTATTCCACACTGGCTCCCAAAAACCGGAGGCAGAACTTTGAGCTGGCCTTCAGCATGGCGGAGTAAGTAGGTGGTGCTGGAGGAGTGGGGAGGAGGCGAGGGATAAGGAGGTGAATAGAGGGCCAGAGGTGAAACAGAAAGGGGGAGGTGAGTGAGGAGGCAGGGACACTGGGAGAGAGGGTGAATGATGGAGAGAGTGAAAGGTAGAGGAGAGAGAGAGAGACAACCTGGGAGTCTGGGAGTGATGGAGAGAGAAAGAGAGAGATAGTTTGGGAGTGATGGA